CAGCTGTTTGTGTAGGTAAAACAAACACACTTCAGCTGTTTGTGTAGGTAAAACAAACACACTTCAGCTGTTTGTGTAGGTAAAACAAACACACTTCAGCTGTTTCTGTAGTTAAAACAAACACACTTCAGCTGTTTGTGCAGGTAAAACAAACACACTTCAGCTGTTTGTGTAGGTAAAACAAACACACTTCAGCTGTTTCTGTAGTTAAAACAAACACACTTCAGCTGTTTCAGCTGGTTCTATCTTGGTCTTTGCACTCCGGTGGTTCTGACCCAGTTCTTAGTCTTTGCACTCCGGTGGTTCTGACCCAGTTCTTAGTCTTTGCACTCCGGTGGTTCTGACCCGGTTCTTGTCCCCCCTCAGCTGGAATCGAGAACCCGGCCTTCATGCCGGACATGGACCCGTCCTCGGCGCTGCACGTCCCTCCCTGGCTGGCGGACATGGAGCTGGACTCGGTGGCTCCGTCTCAGCGGGCTCAGGTCCAGCTGCCCTGGACACCCAGGAACCTGCGCCATCTGTCCCCGTTCCAGACCAGCACCAGGTCCAGCGACTCCTTCCAGCTGACCGACGAGCACCAGGGGGACCAGGATGACCTGCCCCCTCCCCCAACACCTCCCCCCCACTGAGACCAGCTCCACCTGTACCTGGACCCAGCTGCATAGACCCAGAACCTGACCTCAGACTTTGCACCAGACCAGACTCTGGACCAGAAGATGTTTGTTTATTTAAAAATCTGCTTTTTCTGCTTTAATTTAAGTCCGATCTGCTGCAGGAGCTGCTGCTGCTGCTGCTGCTTCTTCAACCTGATGAAAGTTTGTAAAAAATGAATAATTTGAATGATTTCAAGTCAAATCTGATCAGAATGTTTGTGTTTCAGCTGAAGAGGGAAAAAGGTGTAAAGGTTGTAAAAACTTTCATGTATTTATTGACAAATGTAGCTTTGATGTGAAATCTGTTGTTAAACTTTATTTACATGTTGGATCTAAAAATAAAAAATTAACAGTTTTTGTTTAAAGACTCGGTTTTTAAATGTTTCGTTCTAAACTGTTCAAATACTGAAACACGACCAACTTGTAGCTGAAGGATAATTAGATGTCAGTTAGCATTTAGCTGTTAGCTAGTGTTTCAGTTCTTTTAGCTCTCTTCGGCTTGTTTTAGCTTCTCAGATCAGCAGATTTCAGCTGTTCTTCTTCATGAACATCTGGACCTCATGGAGGTCTGAACTTTCTGGAGGTCTGGACCTAATGGAGGTCTGGACCTCATGAAGGTCTGAACTTTCTGGAGGTCTGGACTTCATGAAGGTCTGGACTTCATGAAGGTCTGGACTTCATGAAGGTCTGGACCACATGAAGGTCTGGACCACATGAAGGTCTGGACTTCATGAAG